TTCAATGTTGTGAACTACAATAGTTTTGGGCCAATGGTTGAAGCTTTTGGGCAATAAGTTCCTGGCATGAAACCACCAAGCTACCATGAGGTGAGGGTTCCTTATTTGCAGAAAGAGGTAGACCACACTAATAACACCATGGAGGATCATAAAAAAGATTGGGTAACATATTGATGCTCTTTAATGGCCAATGGGTGGAAGGACAAAAGAAACAGAGCATTAATTAATTTTTGGTTAATTGCCCAAGAGGATCAATGTTTATTGAATCCGTTGATGCTTCTAGCTTATCCAAGGATGGAAATAAGATGTTTGAATTGCTTGACAACTTTGTGGAGCGTATTGGTGAAGCCAACGTGGTTCAAGTTGTTACAGATAGTGCTTCAGCAAATGTGTTGGCCAGTTAGTAACTTAGTAGTATACATTTACTTAGTACTTACTTACAATATGAATATACAATTCTCATATTATTCTTTTTTTTTAAAAAAAAAAAAACTTGTAATAGGGAAGTTTTTGGAGGCAACGCGGCCACATTTGTATTGGACACCATGTGCAGCTCATTGTTTGGACTTGATGTTGGAGGACATTTTCAAAATTCCCAACTTCAACAAGACATTTGAAAAGGCAATTGCGGTGCATGGTTATATTGTGAACTACTCTGGTTTGTTGAATATGATGAGGCAATTTACCCAGTACAAGGATTTGATCAAGCCAGCAAAAACTCGATTTGCAACTGCTTTTCTAACTTTATCAAGGATTCATCAACAACAAACCAACTTGAAGAAGATGTTCACTTCAGAGGAATGGACCACAAGCAAATGGGCGAAGGAACCACAGGGTAAAAGACCGCACAAGTCATATTGATGCCTTCTTTTTGGAACAATGTTCTTTATGCTCTCAAAATATCAAGTCCTCTTGTTCGTGTACTGCGATTGGTTGATGGTGAGAGAAAGCCTCCCATGGGATATATTTATGAGGCAATGGATAGGGCTAAAGAAGCCATTGCAAAATCGTTTAATGGAAATGAAGAGAAGTACAAGGAGTTTTTCGAAATAATTGACAATAGATGGAATGTTCAATTGCATAGGCCTTTGCATGCAGCTGGGTATTATTTAAACCCAGAGTATTTTTACGCAAATCCGAATATTGAGAAAGATAAGGAAGTCATGTCAGGCCTGTATAAATGCATACAAAGGTTGGTCCCAAGCAATGAGACACAAGATAAAGTTTGCGCAGAGTTGACTACCTATAAGAAAGCTGATGGTCTCTTTGGGATGCCTTTGGCCATTAGACAAAGAACTACAAGGGCATCAGGTGATCTATATTTTATACTTAAGTAATTTTAGTTAGTTTTTTATATTTCAAATATTCTTTCTAATTAATTAGTTATAATCAACAGCTGATTGGTGGAGTGCATATGGTTCTGAAACGCCATATTTGCAAACATTCGCCATCAAAATTCTTAGTCTAACTTGTAGCTCATCTGGATGTGAGCGGAATTGGAGTGTGTTTGAACATGTGAGTACCTATTTTTAACTATAGTGAATATGAATACCTATAAATTTATTAATACCTAGATAAAAATTTGAATATTTTTATTTGGTTTGAATTTTTGCAGATTCACACCAAAAAGAGAAATAGGTTAGCTCAAAAACGTCTGAATGATTTGGTATTTGTTAAGTATAATAGAGCATTGAGACGTCGATACAATTCCCGTGACACTATTGATCCCATTGCTTTGACGGATGTTGATGAAAGTAATGAGTGGTTGGTTGGGAGGATGGAGGAGGAACTTGTCTTTGAGGATGATACTTTCACATGAGATGATGTTGCTAGAGCTGCTGGAGTTGAGGAAAGTAGTCAAAGAACTAGATCAACAAGGGCAATAGAAAGGGGTTGTTCAACTTCAAAATCAATAGCTAGACCTGGATTGCAACTTATTGATGAGGAAGAGTCAATTTCAGATGGGGGAGAGGAAGAAGATGCAGAGGGATATGTTGAAGCCAATGATAATGAAGAAGAAGTTCATTTGCTTGATGTTGAAGATGATTTTTAGAACTTTTGGATTGGTGGATTGTATTTGTCTTTGTTGGATATTTTCTTTTGTTTATGGATATTTAGTATTTGGAATGATAACTGCATGATGGTTCTTGAAAATATTTATATTTTTGTCTATACCATTTATTTTAAAAAAATATCATTTCTGGTCGCCTTGCTTCGATGAAGCCCTCGCCTCGCCTCGTCGCCTCACGCTTAGGCGTTTGGTGACCTTGTCGCCTCGGTTCACTTTTCGCCTTAAAAAACACTGGCTCTAAGCCCCAGACGATTGCGATCTGTCTCTCTCTCGCCTTCACAATCTGTCTCTCTCTCTCTCTCGATCGCGACCTTGACCTGGACCTATCTCCCTCTCTCTCTCTCTCTCCTCCTCTCCCTCCCTTGCTTCTGACGTATGAGAGTTTAGTTATTATATAATAACTATTATTATTATATCTTATCAAAAAAAAAATTATTATTATTATTATATATTATATAATAGTTATTATATAACATAAATATACTTATAAGATAATATATAATACATATTATAAAATAATATATACTTATTAATAAATAAATAAATAAATACATATGTAAAATAAAATAAAAAAATTAATTAGAACACATTATTTAAAAAATATAATAAATAAATAAAATAATTAATGTGCATTAAAATAAAAATAATTATAAAAAAATTAAAAAATTTGTCATGTCCCCTGCCGTGTCCGTGTCCCCATTTTTTAGAAATTGCCGTGTCCCGTATCCGTGTCCGTACTTCATAAATTATACTTTCCAGTGTACAAAAATTTCTCCATATCATCATATGTTGTTGAATTTTTTTTTCTCCTGTCTAAGTTTGTTATAACCACCCACATGCCATATGAACATGTTTCATGTTTGGCCCTCCGGATTATCATTTGTTCTCTCTCTCTCTCTCTCTCTCTCTCTCTCTCTCTCAATGAAAAATATTTGATATGACACACATACTGTAAAGATGTTTGCAATGCCCCCCTATGTGATACATATGAGATATAAGAACTACTTTTACACCAAATAACGAGGTTCAAATGACTTTAGAAAGATGCACAATAACATAAGAAAAAGCCTTTCATATAACCCTCCATATCCTTCAAACCTAAAAATGCATTCAGATTTAAAACCAAATAATTTAATGTAATGGAGGAACACATTCAAAAAATTGCACCTATGGCAATTTCCACTACTTCATATACTAGGAAGAACCTCATGAAAATGATACACAATACATACCTCACTCTTCCATAATAACTATTAACTACAAATCGCAAAGCAAATATGAACTATTAATGAATCATTACTGACTGGGGAGATTGAGGCAGTGACCACTGGCTGAGTCAATTCATAAAAAGAAAAGAGGGCTAGTATATCCCAGATACCACCAAAAAGAAGCCATATTATTGCTTTCAAAAGATGTATTCTCATCCACAAAAGCTATTTTGTTTCCCACCCAATACTCAACTGATTGTGAACAATATTTAACTGCCACAGTATGCCCCCTTCCATTCAATTAGAAACCAAAATAAGGTAACATCAGCATCAATACCTAAACATCACAACTTTCAAATCATCTAATGTATGCTGGAACATCTGTAGTCTGTCCAATACCTAGGGCTTACAGTCAAGTAGGGAACAAACTAATTTCACGCCATGCAAAATAACAAAATTGGCAAGAACAAAACTAGATCAAACATCGAAAAATGAAACAAATTAATCACGTTTAACAATACACAATACAACAAACCAAGCGATGATAAGGTACCTCTATTGAGACTGAAGGGACAAAATGAATTCTGAACAGAAAACATAATTGGAAATTTTATAGATTCCAGTTTGTGAAGAAAGTAACCTCCTCAACCTGCTTGCTTTGATACTGCAGTGACATTTGCAGACAGATGTCATAAAAATTCTGCAGGTATTAAAACAACCAAAAAAAGGAAAAAAGAAAAGAAAAGAAGAGAGTAGGGCAGGGCAGGGCAGCAGGGCTAACAGCTAATATTTCATACTTCCCAGCATATTAAAGAGGTCAGCACACTTTGCTCATCGGCTCAATGTATAACACATGAAGCGTCAAAAGAACTACAGCAAGGAAATATACATAGAATATGTGTAAAGACTCAACAAGCCATAATCTTGCCAGTAAAACACTGACCTCTGCACAAATGGTGAGCTTTATAATAATTGTAACAATCAGGAGAAAACCATAGCTACCAAAGCCCACTAATACTCACCCAAGGACTTCCATGTCATGGGATTGCAAGCTTAATTTTAGAACCATAAAAGCCTCAAACAAGATCAAGGTAGATGACCTACCACCTTCCTATACAATAAACATGCACTGACTAATTCACATGAAGTATATTACTACCATTTCAGAGTTTGTTCATGCACGTTCGATGATGTGTTCTAATTTCGTAATCCCCAGTACACATTCATTTTACGTAAATTAATTAACCACCCTTTGGGAAGAGTTTTTCATAATCCCTACCACATACCTTATACAGACTCTCAATCAAAGATTGATCAGTTGATTCATTAATTTCATCATATATATATATATATATAGAGAGAGAGAGAGAGAGTAGTCAGCTTCAACTCCTACAGGAATATCACTATATCCAATCAATCTGAACACAAAATACTGTCTAACCCTCCTAACAACAAATGGATCCTTATGATGGACCCAAACACATGAGACAGACAGATATAGCTTCACTTGCTCCTCCATAATGCCATGATATTGTATGAGAAGTATGTTGTGACAAACTGTATCCCATTGAAGCCCATTAAAACCAAGGTTAAACCTACAATACCATATAGCAAAGCATGCTCTCCAGCACAATATTCACACATGGAGATATTCTACATGAATGGAAAGCAAAATCCTTATCCCCTTTACATTCCACGTATGTCAGATTTAAATTATTACCTTCAAAGTGGAATAGTTTCAGTCAAATTCTTTGTCAATGAAAGCGAAGAACGCGCCCTCCTCTTTACACCAAACGTCTCTTGCAAACACAATACGATGATTAAAAAGGGTATAACTGATTGTAGGTATTAAATCCATACTTCTCCAATATTCAAAAGCAAATTAAAAATTTTAAGAGAATTGTTTACAAAGTACCAATGAAAATATGTTACATACACAAGTTTCAATTGAAACTTCTTCTCAAAAGAAGGCCGTCTTGCCACACCTTGCGATGCAAGCAGTGTCAGAGGTGCATTTCTATATAACAGCCAAAGCTTGAGAAATAAAGTCATCCTGGTACAGGTCTGATTGCACAACAGGCAAAAGAATTATGCCTCTCCATCCAGGTCCTCAAGAATGCCTGCTAAAAATCAGCATGAATGATTGTTTCCAAACAATGTTTGCAACTTCCTTTGGATGTATGGCTCTCACCTCAATGGTTCAACCATGTCAATTTGCTTAAACTGTTAAAAACTGAAACAAGGAGATATCAAACGCATCCAGGCACACTCATTTCTCTCAGCCAAACAAACCACCAGTCCCTAGTTCCCCTTGCTGCAACTCTTTTCGACGCTGCTCCTCTAAAGGATCTGGACTCTTCATTATCCTTCGCAAACGCCTGAAATCACATGAATAGCAAATTAGCTTATATGAATGCAAATAAACTGGAAACAGATGTGAACTTCTGGTCACCAAATTTTTCGAGGATTACTGTACCTGTCTTGTGCATGTTGAGCTGGAAAAGTAGGCATGAATTCTTTAGACTTGGGAAGAGGAACTTCACGAAACCACTCATGCTTAAGAGCATCTTCAGCTGTTATTCGCTGCACATTTATGACAGGCCTTCACAATTAGCTTTACCGGGGGAAATGGAGAAAAAAGTACCAGAAAAAAATATAGAGAGAGCATGATAACATAGCTATAGGCATGTACTACCTTCTCAGGGTCATAAGTTAAAAGTTGGTTCAATAAGTCAAATCCAGCATCAGAGAGAACCGGAGATCCAGTGAAAGATGTAGCTGGAAATTTCCTACGCAATAGGTTATACCTGAAACAAATACATTACTGGTTAATAGCACGTGATATAGTTGTTGTGTAACTGAAACTGTCACCAATGGAGGCCAGAAAACCAGACCAGAATCACCCAAAGCTGGAAGCCTGGGAAAACAGTGGCAAAAATAAGATAAACACGAATGTCACAATCAACAGTGAGCATTGAATATGGAAAACAGATACTTACTGATGCTTCACGAAGTTCACCTTAACCCCAGGAAGTTTGGAAAACCCAGGCCAAATAGTCTCATTTGGCGTGCCAAGGATTCTGAAAATCTGCAGCCACAGAAAAGCCAAGCAAAAGTAACTAACCCACGAGTTAAAGCACAAGATCAGTACTTCTACAGCAGCAGTAGCAGTTACAAAGGGCAAGACAAAGTCATTAATTTATTTTACCTTGTCAAGCTGATCAAACTCTGTTTTCCCATTAAACAATGGCCCTTTTGCTAATAGTTCAGCCATTATACAACCCAATGACCACATGTCAATTGCTGTAGAATACTGCTTTGCTCCCAACAAAAGCTCAGGTGCCCTATAAACAATAAAAATAAGTATATTAACTACTTGATCTAACTCCTAAAGGGGAAAAGGTTGTGTGTATATACGTTACAGATCAGATTACGAAAACACGAGGAATAAAGTACAGAAGACCCAAAGGTTTAACAAGACATGGCACCTGGTAGCTTTTAAGCATTCAGGAACAAGGTGTTTGGGGAGGGGGGGGGGGGGATAAGGGGGGGGGGGGGGGTGATAATTTTTCTTATTGAACAATGCCCCACCCCCAAAAACAAAAAATAACAATAAAAACAACAAAAAAGTACAGTTTTCATTTTGCAAAGCTGTTTATCCTGGTAAATATCACAACTATAACAACTCAAATACCACAATTGGTTAATTATATAATTAACAACATCACAACAATAATGGCAATGAACCACTGAATGTGTGATCCAAAACTAGAAACAATAAATTATACAAAGCAACAGCAGATGCAGTAACCAAGCTGTACTGTATCATACGACTAGCCATAACCCAATTTAGCAAAACCATAAACACTTACAAAAAGCAAAAGATAAGATGAGGATAGAGAACAAATTGAATAAAAGAACAAGAAGATCAATGCTATTATTGTTTAAAAAAAAATAATAATAAATAAGTAAAAGGAGAAAAGAAGAACAGATACGGCGCAGCTCACCTGTACCACAAGGTCACTACCAAATGAGTATATGGCTTCAATGGGCTGCCATATTGACGAGACAACCCAAAGTCACAGATTTTCAACTCACCCTGATTATTAAAAAGCAGATTTGATGTCTTCAAATCCCGGTGAAGCACCCAGTTGTCATGAAGATACTTGACACCTGCCAATAGTTGAATCATTAGACATTTAACTTCACTCTGACTAAATGGCTGCTTCATTGCCTCCATCAATCCTTTAAGATCATGTTCCATGTATTCCATTACCATAAAGACACTATCAAGACTGCTTCCCACCACCACTTCTTTGACATCCACAATTGATGGGTGATGAAAAGAAAGAAGAATGTTTATTTCCCGCAGTGAAGTCAAAGGAAAACCTTCTCTTTCTTTTTCCATCTTAACCTTCTTCAGTGCAACAATTTCTCCAGTTTTCTTATCTTTGGCTCTGTAAACGACCCCATAAGTTCCTTCGTCTATCTTATTCAGTCTCTCAAACTCATCAACACTTCTACACCCCTGAAGCATGTTTACAGTTCTTTGTGGTGGGCCCACAGGCTCTGGTGTGCCATGAGAATCATGGTCATCCACTGATTCTGTATCTGACTGGCTAACACTAGAGCCATTTCTATTGTGTTCCTCATCTATTTCCATGTAATCATTCTTGTCAGAATCATCTACAGGGTTATCATCTCTACTGGAAGACCTACCACGGTAACCTCCTTCATCAGATTCAGATGACCTTGCCCTAGTTCCTTCAGAGGCTTCTCTCTTAAGTTCCCCGGGCTCAGGAGTTAACGAATTACTTTGTACCCTCCTTTCAATTGACTCAGAAGGAGGCATTTTCTTCCTCCTTTTTGGCATTTCTTCATCATCAGAAATTTCACCTTCATCGGCTGAGGAATTGGCATCACCAGCCCATCGAGAAGCTGATATATGCCTTGTCGGAATGTAGTCTTCATCTTCTAGTTGTTCTGTTTCCTGATAGTTACCCCGTCGCTGCTCCTGAGGTGGAGAAGAAGATAAATCCACTGAAGACTCAGATACAGCAGACACATGTAATCCAAGCTCCACAGGAAGCTTATCTGGTGAAGGTTCTGAGCTCTGAAGGCTACTCTCTTTTAGGGGAGAAATTCGTACACCGCCATCTGGAATAATGTTAGGTGACTGACGATAGGACTTAGGAAGTGGTGGCGGAGGAGGGAGACTAGTAGCAGCTGGGGTAACTCTACTCCTAGATGTATTACTCGATTCCTTTTCATCTCTATCCCAAACAATTGGCGAAAACTTCCTCTTCTTACTCTCCACAGGCGGCCGAACCCCATTCTCTAACGTTGAAGCCTCGAACTGCTTAACTTGAGATCCCGAATCAATAGCCTCATCAGACCCACTTTCACTTGACAATTCACCCGGCTCTCGATCCGCCACTGTTACAGGAAATTGACACGGCTTTGAACCACCGCTGCTGCTACCAGAATCACTCCTACTTGAAGCAGAGCGGTACCCACCATTACTTACTTCCCTCTCCTTAACATCCTTCTGTCTAACCCTAGCTCTATCCCTTATCCCCCGGTTACGATCACTGTTTCTAATCCTATCATACTCACCATTGGAATAAGACAAATCCCTCTCACGGTCCCTGAATTCATTATCACGATAACCCCCGTGTCTTCCTGCCGCCATATATATAAAACCCTAAATTTTCCTATCCAATAAAACCCTAACCCTGAAATCGCCCAATCAAACCCAAGACAATTTATGGCTTATTTTTTAAAAAACCCTAAAGTCAAATACCACAATTCGACCCCCCAAATCCAATCAAGCACAGATCTGACAACAAATACGAAAATCAAACATGAAAAAAGCGTGTAACTAGTCAAAAATCTTCTCTTTTTTTTTATGCTATGAAGCTAGGGAATCAAGAGGGAAACCCTAGAAAATGAATAGAAACGAAGAGATGATACAAAAACCGTGAAAACTGTGGATAGATGTTGCGAACCCTATCAGGGGAGATGAGATTGGGAAGGGCTTACCGGTGAAGTTGGGCGATTGGTAGAGAGAGAAAGGGCGCGGCGGCGACGCTGCTTCTCTAGAGAGAGAGAATCCCCAAATCAGTAGTTGGAGAAGAAAAAGCGAAGTCGCGAAGCAATCGACTGTCAAAGATTTTTCTTTTGTGAGAACGCGTAATGATGTTATTATTATTATTATTATTTCCTATTTTAATAATTAGGTTAAATTTTAAAATTAGGTTAAATCCGGGTGGGTGGGTGCGGCTGCGTAAAGTATCGTTTGATTTGTTAAAACTGTATTGTTTTGCATTAATTTGAACAGTTTTATTTTTTAATTTCAGATTAAATTTTAAATTTTATAATTCGTTTTATAAACTGTTTCGTTATACTTAATACATATATATATTTTTTAATCTCTAATGAAATATCAAAGTAAAAATTAATATGAAAGTGATTTAAAATGTGAAATTTATTATAAATTAATAGTTATATATATGAACATATTATGTAAAATTAATTTGTATTATATATATAAAATATTATGTAAATTAATGTTATATATTATGTAAATATTTAATAATTAGTTAAAATATTTTTCAATCCGTTAATTTGTCAAAATCTATCTAAATTGCAAATTGTTAATTTATTAATCCGTTATTCAATTTATAATTTTATTCTCATATCGTTAATTGTACCGGAGCTATTGTGAGTGAGGGTATGATTTGGTTTGAAGGGAGGAATCAATTTTTAGAGGGTTAGTGGGATGTGATGGTAAGCAGATGATGGTGTTTGTCCTGAAAGTAATGATAGACAGTTGTACAACGTATTGATTTGGATAAAGTGGACAAATATAAAAAGGACAAAATGTAATTTACTCATTTAGTTATTTTATTTTTTTGGATTTAATTTCACAATTGATTATTTTAGTTTGAGCGAAATTTCATTGTGGATGCAATAGTTTTAATTTGAACAAATTAAATTTCATTTTTTTTAGATTTGTTATAATGTAATTCTTTTGTCATTTATTGTTAAAATTTTGGGCTTCTAGTTTTATTAAAAAAAAAAAAAAAAAAAAAAAAAAAAAAAATTGATCCAAAATTCTAACGATAAATAATAAATAGATCACATTATAATAAAATTAAAAGTGCAGTGTTCAAATTATTTCAAAATATAACAAAGAAAGTGAAATTTCATTTAGATTAGAGGGACTAACGGTGTAATTTATTATTATTATTTTTTTTTATGGGTTAATTGGCAGCTGAAATACTCCCTTGCCAAATATAATATTTAAGTTCTGATTTTTTTTTTTTTTTTCCTCCTACTTTTCTACTACTATTCATTTAAAAAAAATGAGGAAGAAAAATTTTAAGAGAATTACAAAATAAATAAAAATAATTCAAAATAATTATTAACTTTTATAGAATGCAAGTGAATACGTGCTCATTAGAAATAAACTAAACTAATCCCAACTAGTGGCTTATTTAGAAATAAAACTAATCCCAACTAGTGGCTTATTCAATAATGTGAATGCAAAATTATAAAGAATTATCGGTTGGTTTTGGACGCTCTTATGCTGGTTTATTCTTCGAATCTTCTGGCATGTTTTTCAAAATTATGGCTTTGCTCCCCGTTGGGTTTAATTTTAGGGTAAATTACACTAACAGTCCCTGTAGTTTAAAACTCATGTCACTTTGGTCCTTGACTTTTCAATTATAACACATTTGATTTTGAATTTTGAATCTTATTCCAAATAAGGACAATTGAAGATATCATTGTTTAATTTCAAGAGTAAAATCATCAATTTAATAAAATATAAACTAATTTGACAAAAATAAATATCAAAAAAAAATTTAAAAATTATTTTTATCCACCAATGATAAAATTATGTAAAATTGATAAAAATTAATAAAAATTACATGATTAATTTTTTAAAATTAATTTTACATGATCATTATCCAAACACATAATAAAAATTAATTTGGTAAAAAAATAAATAAATGTCTAAAAGATTTATCAATTTTACATAATGTTATTTTTAGTGGGTATAAATAATTTTTTAAAATTCAAAAATATTTGTTTGACATTTATTTTTGTCAAATTAGTTTATATTTTATCAATTTGACAATTTTACCCTTGAAAAATCTAATGATATATTCAATTGTCCTTATTTGGAACAAGATTCAAAATTCAGAGTCAAATGTGTCACAATTGAAAAGTCATGGATCAAAGTGACACAAATCCCAAACTATAGAGACTATTAGTGTAATTCACCCTTAATTTTATTTAAGTGCTTATTTGAGGTGTGTTATATAAGTTTATTTTTTAGAGTATTGTTATTAATATCTCATAAATTATTTTGGATCTCCTAATTTTTAATTTTTTTTATTACAATAATAACCTCAAATAAAATTACTTAAAAAGATATCATTAATTTTAGGGCACCCTATCTCACAATTAAACCTACACACCTACCACGTAATGAATTAGGGTTGATGACCACCTCCACCACCACCTATCCATCTTCCCCAAATCCTACCTTCAAAATATATCCACCCTCAAAACCTTAAAAACTCTTTAGCAACAACAACATAGCTTATTTGTTTTGGAACGCAAGTTTGAACATGAAAATTTGTTAACACTTTGAATGGTTAAAATTTTTAACGTTTGCAGAAGTTTTTATCTATCAAGTTCAGAAATACAGGCCCGAACATTACTTATTTGTTCAGGATGGCGTTCTCGAACAAATAAGTAATGTTCGAAAATGCAGGTCCGAACATGAAAATTTCTTAACACATTGAATGGTCAAAATTTTTAACGCTTACAAAGTTTTCATTTTTTCAAGTTCAGGAATACATGCCTGAACATTACTTATTTGTTCGGAAATTCCCGAACAAATAAGTAATGTTTGGGAATGTACGTTCGAACATGGTAATTTCTTAACACATTAAACGATCAAAATTATTAACATTTGCAGAATTTTTCATTTTTATAGGCCTGAACATTACTTATTTGTTCAGGAAGGCATTCTCGAACAAATAAGTAATGTTCAGGAATGCAGGTTTGAATATGAAAATTTCTTAACATATTGAATGGTTAAAATTTTTAATACCTGCAGAAGTTATCAGAAGTAGCCCAAATCCATTATCAGGTTCAAAAGTTATTCCTTCATTGCGTAACTTTCATAATATTGCTGCATAGTTTTCGCTCAACTCACAATTTTATAATATCTATTAACAAAACTAATTATTATAATTTTTTTCCTGCAAGAGAAAAAATTATTGCGAGAAAACTAAGAAATTATGTATATATATATAGAGAGAGAGAATAACAACTGTGACAATAATGGATGAGACAATACAGACAGTAATCACAATGACTCTTCTTCTTCTTGGTGGAATATTTTATTAGGGTTTTTTGGAAGAGGTTTTTTTTATTTTTGGGTGTGGGGGGTGTGGAAGGTGTGCATTCAATGGGTGAAATGTTTTCACAAAGATAATTTTGGTATTATTTGGGAGGGGAAAAAGAAATTTTGAGGGTTTCAAAATTTATAATTGGGGGCCCAAAATAATGGGAGTTCAAAATAATTCATGAAGTGCTAATAACACCATTCAATTTTTATTTATTTATATTTTTTTTGAGTCACATTATCTCTTTATATTTCTTCACATATATTCCTAAAAAGTCAAAAAATGCACTTAAAATTATTTTTATAATTTTAAATCAAATATTTTATTCATACACTTTAAATTTATTTTTAATTTAATAATATTTTAAAGTCTCATTTGGTAACATCACGTTTTAACCTAAAAATCAAAAAGTTTTTAAAAAGCTCAAAGATTCTTCTCTTTTTTTAAAATTTTTTTTCACATTTTTCATAAAAAATTAAAAAATTATCTCAAATATATTAATTTTTTTATCTCATATTTTAGCAAAAAAAATCAAAATATATTTCCAAACGAGACCTAAATTTAATTTTAATTTAATTATTCAATCTATTTTAAAAATTAATTATTTTGAGAAATCTCTTAAAGTGTCCATGTAAGAAAAATTAATACACTTTTATACAAGAAAAAGCACCTTTGGCGACTAAATTTTTAGTTGCCAAAAGTCCTTTTTTAGTTTCCAAAAGTCGACTTTTCACTTTCCCCGACTAAATATTTTAGTCACCGGTTTTGTCGCGAATACATGGTTGCCGGAGGTATTGGCGACTAAAAATGTTTTAGTCGGCAAAAAACAGGTCTTTAGCGACCAACGCTTTTGTCGCCAATAGTCAATTGCATTTTTTAAAATTATACATTTAGCGACTAATCTTTTAGTCGCCAATAGTGAATTATTTTTTTTTATTTATACATTTGTCGCCAAAAGCATATTTCAAGAAAAAAAAAATTACCCTCTGCTGTTGCCAAGTTTCAAACCACCAACCTTCCACATTCTAAACCTTTAGCAACACACTCTCCCCACTATGTCAGTACAACATCACATGAATATAAATGCAACATATATTATTTATATAGTATATTGACCGGTATTAATACAAAACTATATATATAAAAATAATTATTTTTATTTAATATAATTTATGTAAAAAATAAATTATTTACTAAAAAAATATTGAGGCCACTTTTGGCGACTAAATCCATTATTTAGTCGCCAATTCTATAATTTTGGGCTACTAATTATATTTTAGTCGCTAAAAAAATAAGTTCCGTCTAAAAATAACCAGTTTAGTCGCCAATTGCCTGTTTTTAGCTACTAAATTTTTTTTAGTAGGCAAAAAGCTTCACTTTCAGCGACCAAACTGTTTTTAGTCACCAAAACACGTATAATTGGCGACCAAATTGTTTTTTAGTCGCCAAATCCGTCACTTTTGGCTACTAAATTATTTTAGTCACCAAAAACCGTCACTTTTGACTACTAAAAAACCTTTAGTCGCTAAAACCCATATAATCGGCGACTAAATTGATTTTTAGTCGCCAATAACTATACATTTGGCTACTAAATTGTTTTAGTCGCCTAATTCCATTTTCGTCGCCGAAAGTGCTACTTTCAGCGACGGAAATTTTTTTTTTAGTCGCCATTTGTGCTTTTGTTGTAGTGTGAGAACTATATTAACACGATTTTATATATTGAGAACCAAATTAATACAATTTAAATATCCAAGATA